AATTTCGTAATTATTTTCAATTAATTCTGTAATATTTAACATAACTAGAGCGCAAACAATGAAAATAAATAAAAGGCATAATTACTTAAAAGTTGTAGTGTGTGTGTGGGTAATCATAAAGCTCTGTTAAATTACTTTATGCTTCAAAAGAAAATCAAAAGAGAAAATTTGTACCTAATTGTGTTAAGTACGCGGACTGAATTTTTTAGATTTTTTGTTTTTTTTTTTATTTAATATTATATTTGGGTTGATTTTATAATGTTTTAAAATTTGTTTTATTTAAATATTTTCATACATGAGGCAATGCAAATTTTCTCGAACACTTAAAATTTATCAAGAAAATTGTAATTATTACTTTCATTGTATAACTATTTTTTCAATATTTCTTAAATACAAAATTATTTTGGAGAAAATATTTACATAATATAATCTTGGTTATTCTGTAACATATAGATTAGATTATTTTATAATATTAGAACTTAGACTCAGAACTAATTAATGATTAATGATTATATTGAAAAAAATCAAGCAATCCAAAAACATTGCACTCACATAATAACACAAATCATTATAATTAAAAAAAAAAACCATTACAAAGTTGATTGAACTTATTTTAAACGTTGTTCTTTTTGATTTTCTCAAACTTTAAAAAAATGATAAATAAGAGCTATTTTTGTTTATTAGAAGAAATTTTTATTTATAAAATGTTTTTATTTTGAAATTAATGTAATCTAAATTACTCGTATTTTGTTTTTAATTTGCATTTGTAGTAAATGATTTCATAAATAGTAAATCTGAATCAAATGTCTTTCTTTTGCAAATGACATTCTGAAATATTGAATGATAGCAGCTTGCATTGAGTCATACCGATTATTATGGGAACAACGTAAATTGTCGGATAATATAAGACATAACGTATAGTATTTTAATCTTTAAACATACTCAAATGTAAAAAATACCAAATCATCAATTAAAGCTCGATGGTATTGTACCAAGCTCAATTGTGTTGTATCAAGCTCAATTGTATTGTATCAAGTTGAATTATGTTGTATCAAGCTCAAGTGACGAAATTATTGTAAAATTTTTAATTTACTAGATCTCTTTAAGATATTTGATTTAAAAATTTAACACCATTATAAGAAAAGCTACTAGTTTTGTTTTGTTTTCTCAAACACAAATATAAATTAGAAGTTAATTTTAACATTAAATATTCATTAAATTTTTCCGCTCATGTTTTTGTTTACGTAAATAATACTCGTACATACGTTAGGTATACAAAATTTTAAGAAAAATTTGTTTGTCAATGAAAAAAAATTTTATTAAAAATTACTAAAAATAAATAATAATTTCGATTTAATTGATTTTATTTTGCAATCAAAAATTTTATTTTGCAATGTCAATGATGTGCAAAATTTCTATAATTGGCTATATTTTTCATTGTATAAGCTATGATTATATTTTTTTCGTTAATTGGATGCATTCATATACAACTAAATTGTTTATATTAAATTGATTCAATTTTTACATATACACTTTTTTATAATTATGTGTCGCATTCGATATTGAATTTAAAAATAAATTAAAAATTATAAACTTAATTTAATTTAATTTTGTTTTAATTTTAGACTGATTGTTTTCTAGAAAGTGAGAAATAGTTTTGTAATGATTAATAAAATAATTTCATTCAAGTCAAAATTTTTTTTTTTTTCAATTTTCAAGTCACAGGTATTTAAAACGAAATATAATGAAAAAATAAAGTTTAAACAATTGGAATAAACTCTTTTTTTTTGTTTTTAAATCTATTAACAATTTGTTTTCTTTAAATCATTTTTAATATAATTTATTATTTATTTTACGCCCAATTAGAATTAACATGGAGGCTATTTCATGTTCAACTATAAATTTATTTGATTTCATTCGTTCCAAAATACGCAATAGCATCAACAACAGTATTACGTTTATGACACAAAATAAAAATAGCAATAAGTTTGAAAAGAAAAATAAAGGTTTTTCTTTTATTTTTAATTATTACAATTCTGATTTATTTTTAATTTTAAATCACATAATTATATGTATGTATATATGTACATATGTATTTAGAATGTCTGAAATTAAAAAAAATGATTCTCGCGCCAAAAAAAAATTTTCTATATTAGTAAGAAAATTTCATGAAAATGAAAGTTTGTTTTTATTTTTTGTTGTTTTTAAATATTGACATTGACTTACATTTCTAATTTTAGACACTTTTATAAACGAATTATTTTGCTTTTCATCTTTATATATGTTTATGTACTTAAGTTTTAAATAAACAAATAATTAAATTTCATTAACAAAATATTATGAAGTATCAAAATAAAATTTTAAATATTTAATTTTTTTTTTGTGCAATAAAAATATTTCACATAAGAGTAAGAATAATTAAAATGTCATTGTCAAATAAAAATAGAAATAATATTTAATTATTTTTTGATAATTTTTAATATTGTATTAAAATTTTCAAAATCTAAATATTATACTTTCTTTTCTATAAATTTAAATTATTCATATGGAAATATTGTGTTTTTTATTTATCATTAACAAAAAGAACATTTTTTTTTATTGCGGGATACAAGATGTGATTTTTTCTTTTTTAATTGGTATTATAAGTATTATTACTATCTTCTAACTAATCTAAATAGATTAAATCAACTTTGCGCTAAACAGCAATAAAATAAATAAATAAAATTTAGTTAAAAATTCAAAAATTTTATTAAATAATAATTTGAAAAATTTTTTATTTTTAACATAATATTTAAATAAAAATTAATATTTTTTCATATACTACTATGTATAATTATACCCGTACGAACGTATGTTCGAAGGGTATACTAAATTTGCCTTACCGTTTGTAACGCTAAGAAATAACGGTGTTAGATATAGACTCAAGTGTATGTTTTTGATCAGCGTCAAATTCTGAGTTGATTTAGCTTTGTCTGTCCGTCCGTCCGTCCGTCCGTCCGTCCGTCCGACCGTCCGTCCGTCCCAACGATAACTCAAAAACTAATAGAGCTAAGTTCACCAAATTTTCACAAATGATTTATTGTAGTAAGTGCCAGAATTTTGAGAAAATCAACCCTAAAATTGGACATGATCGGGGTACCGGTTCGGGTAGCTGCCATACAACTTCAAAATTTATTTGGCTATATCTCAGAAACTATAAAAGTTGTGGTATTGAAATTTCACACAAACGAATATATTAGTAGGGCCAATGTGTTTCATAAAAGTCGTTGAAATTACTTGGCTCCTTCTGTTACCTGCCATATAACTTCAAAAGTTATTTGACTATATTTCAGAAACTATTAAAGCTATGGTATTGAAATTTCACACAAACGAATATATTAGTAGGGCCAACGTGTCTCATAAAAGTCGTTGAAATTACTTGGCTCCTTCTGGTACCTGCCATATAACTTCAAAAGTTATTTGGCTATATCTTAGAAACTATAAAAGCTGTGATATTGAGATTTCACACAAGTGAATATATTAGTAGGGCCGATGTGCTTGATAAAATTCGCTAAAATTCCTTGGCTCTTTCTGGTAGCTGCCATACAACTTCAATAGTAGTTTGGCACAACCAGTATTTTGAAAAACACATAGTACTGAAATTTTGCATAAATTAATATGGTAATACGGCAACTAAAAGTCATAGTCTACCCTATAGTTAGTTAAGGCACATTAATTATTCGCACATAGGATAACAAATTCGTACTGGTATCACAGAGTTGACAAGGTCAACTCTATTTTTTTTCTCGTTTTAATATAAAATAGTATGAACAGAAAATTTATACTCAAATATTAAATAAAAGAGGTTTTAATAATTTTCATTATCATCATCATTATTGGTGTATTTTTTTCTTATTTTTTAGAATAAAGAACTTTTTTAGACCAATGAACTTTCATTTCAAAGTATCATCATAAAATTAATTTGTTAAATTTTTTTTTTACTTTTTCAAATAAAAAGCAAAAATAGCTTTTTTGAAGATTTTTAAACATCAGAATAGCGTTGGTTAAAAGTTGGCCATTATCAGTGCCAAAAAAAAAAAAAATACAAAAAAATTAAGTATTGTAGAGGAAACAGAAATTTAAAAAAATTTTCCAAAAATAAAATTATTTAAATTGATTGAGGCACAATGTGTGTGCCTCCTTCCACAATATAAAAAAAATATAGAAAATGTGCTCTTGAGCAATAATAACCAAGATTATTTGAATAGGTTCACTTCAACAAACGTTTTGTGTTTTCATAAGTTCAATTCAGTAAACTTTATAATTAACAAGTAATAGGGACCTTCTCTTTAAAATTTTTAATTATCTCAATATTTGAAAAAAAAACAATTGAGTTATAAATGTTGATCTCAAATGTGAGTATAAGATCGCCATCTACTCAAAATACTAGCAGCCCCAACAATACAAATGTCGTTCTTTTAAATACATTTATAAAATGATAATATGAGCAAAAAACGTCAAACTGTTGAATATTGCATTTTGTTACAATTAAAATTTATTGCAAATTTTAATACAAAAAAAAACATATTTTGAAAGAAGTTTTCGTCAATAAAATTAAAGACAGAAATGAAATTGCAATAAAATAAAAATTAAATAAAGTTAATGAGCCAATTCCTAATCAAGTGACTGTTAACCTTCACCCTGCATGAATTTCTTTATAATATTTAATTTTTTCCTTTAATTTTGTTTTTCAATTTTGTTTTTTATTTATCATTATATTATTTTTTTTTGTTCTTATTGTCAAAAGAAAATTGGGTGACGAAAAAAAAAAATACATAATATTTTTCTGCAAAATATTCAACCTCATTAGTACGCTGTTAAACATTAGTGGAAAATATTTTTTTCAATTTATATTATTAATAATTTTTTTAAATAAACTTATACTTGCATATACATATAAAATAAAAGTATATAAAAGTAATTAAAATTTATCAATTAATTTATTTTATTTGTAATTTTAGAAATTAGTATGGCTGCTCCAGCATTAAAAGATTTACCAAAGGTTGCAGGTGATTTAAAATCACAACTTGAAGGTTTTAGTGCTGAAAAATTGCATCATGCTGAAACACAAGAAAAAGTTGTATTGCCAACCGCTGAAGGTACGCAGGGATAGTATTTTTGAATAAAAAAGTTTTAGTTATAATACGAAATAACACTGAAAGACACGAAAATTAAAATGATATTTTTAAAATTCATAATTTAAATGAACATAATATAATGCAAAGCAATTTTATAATTTTATAATTTTAAATAAAAATAAATCATACAAAATATGTTTATAACTCACATATTAAAAATTTGTACTGAAAATTTAAAAGAAAGAGTACAAGTAGATTGTAAAGTAGCAGAAATTATGTTATTGTTTTAAGTTAAGGATTCTTTTAAATTAATGTTGATGTTTTTTAAAATTTTAAATTACAAATATTTATAATGCTTCAGGAAAATATTCGAAATATTTATAATAATTTCTAATTTTAGTTATAAAAGATGAAAAAAATCGTCAAAATGTTTTAAAAGAAATAAAAGGATTCGATACAGTGTTCTTAAATCCAACAAAAACTGTTGTTAAAAATGTTTTACCAACAGCAGAAGGTTTTTATTTTAAACTAACGTGTGTAAATTTCCGCTTATTTCCGCAATATTTTTGCGCAAAAAAAAAACAATCCCATATTTAAAAAAGTTCCACACTTATTAAAACTGTTTGTTTTTTTTACTTAATCAAGTCTTAACGACATATTTATAAATTCAATTAAGCTTTAACATAAGCTTTAATTAATTTTAACAATTAGAATTTAAATAAAACACAAATTAATGCTTTCTAACTAAAATAAATTAAATGCAGCTTATCTTCGAGGACTTTTGTCACAACCGTTGAAATATTGTAATGTTGCTTATTTAATTATCTAGCATTCATATATGGAAATCATTAATAATGCGAAATTTCCTTTTTTTATTGATGAAAATGTATGTAAAATATTATTGCCATAAATCCATAGTTGAGAACATTCTCATAAATTCACACACTTTGTATTCGTAAACTATTTACAGATTTTATAAACATTAAAATATTTAATTATACAATACAATAAAGTTAAATTTCATACTTTTTTCACGTTTATTATCATTAACATTAATTTTAAATTGCTTATTTAAACTAAAAATTTTTTCTATTTCACCAAATTTCATTTTAATCTCATGTTTTTATTTTTGATATTGAATTAATTTTTTATTTTTATATAATTGCTAAAATAAATTTGGACTTAAAATCAAAATTTCGAATAATTCAAATTATATTACTTAACGTTTTATTTTTTTTTTAAATATTTCAAAAGTTAAAGAAAGATTTTTCCTAAATTTACTTACAATAGATTAATATTGAGTTTTAATTATTGAAATAAGATTAATTAAAAATCAAAGAAATTTTGTTAAAATAATTTGTTTTGTTTTTTTTTTGGTTTAAACGAGCAGATGTTGCAGCAGAAAAAAGCCAGAAAACATTATTTGATGGTATTGAAAAATTCGATCATGGTAAATTAAAGCATGCCGAAACCAATGAAAAAAATCCATTACCAGACAAAACAGGTAAATATATTTACAATTAATAAAATATAATAAAAGAGAAGAATAAAATATTCAAAATTTTACCAATAATAAGTTTAAAATTATTTTAGAATAAAAATCGCAATAAACATAAATAATAAATTGATTGTATAATAAAACTACGAAGGTTGTATTAAATAAGTAAGAAAATCAAAATAAAGGATAATTTAAGTTTATAGGAAGCATTAAACAATATTTCTTCACTTTCGGTTTTATATTTTTATACTATTATGCACAACATGTATCCCAGGTGTCTTAATTCAATATTCTTAACTATTTGATTTGAAATTGTTATTACTGTAGTGAACAGTTTATTTTAACTTTTAAGTAAGTTTTAAAATTCAAACTGAAAGGGAAGCTTTGAGTGTTCCTGATCTTATTTTTGCTTATGAATTCGAATTATATGACTTTGAATAACTTGTATAACATGTTAAAATTTAAAAAAAAAAAAAAATTTAACCAGGTTTATATAGGCTCTGTGTGAGTGCTTTTGCTTAAAAATTATATCGGCTATTACAAGCTAACAACAAAATAACTTATTGATTATATACTTAATTGAAATTTTTGCACCTAGCTAATATTAGAAATATTGGAAAAGAATTAATCAACCAAACATCTTTCCAATATTTAATTTTTTTTATTTTTTGTTTTAAAAGTAATTAAAAAAATCTCGATTTTAATCTAAAACAACAAACTATGTAAATTTTAAATTATAAAAGAAAAACTAATTTTTATTTTTATAAATATTTGATTTTTCTTTTTGGTTTTGCGAGGATTTGCTTTCATTTTTTTTCGAAATTTAAAAATTTGTGTTTTAATATTTACTTATTTTCTCTATTTTCTTTTTTTTTTGTATTTTAGCGATTGAGCAAGAAAAAGAAAAATTAAATTTCATCAATGGTATTGAAAATTTTGACTCCAGTAAACTAAAACATACTGAAACTCAAGAAAAGAATCCTTTGCCAACCAAAGAAACTATTGAGGAAGAAAAGAAGGCATAAAAAATTAAAAGAAAAAAAATTTGAACAAGCATGACTTAAAAAAATCATGTGAACACTTTTATAAATTAACATTAAAAAAAATTATTTTCATTTAAAATAATTTAACATTTTTTTTTTAAATTTAAAATATTTTTTTTTCTTAATTTGTAATATTATTTTTATGAAAAAATATTAAAAAAAAAATTATTCAATTCTTAGATATAAAATATTGTAATGCTTAAAATATGGCTTAAAAAATAATAATTTATGTGTAGTAGCGTTTAAAAAGAAAAAAAAACTGTATTATTTTTATGTATAAGAATAAAATTAACAAAATATAATTTAAACAATGTTTCTTAATTGTTTTATTATTACTTTTTTTTTGATTTCAGTAATGATTTCAAGATTTATTTTAAATAAGTATATGAAATATCTAAATGTTTTTTATATTTGATTTTTTCTTTAAATTAATATATTTTTATATAAGTAAACTATTTTTATATAAAAAGAACATATTACATATTATTAAGAGAAAATATTTATATTAATATATAAAATTTTTAAGAGCAAATGAAAAAATGAATAAAGAAAAATAATTTTAATAAATCTTTATTTAAAAAACAAAAAACAAAAATATAAAACACTGATCATAAAAATATGAGAAAAACAAATCCAATTATAATTATTATTATTAACATCATTAAAAAAGAAAAAAGTAAAATGAAAACATTAAACCGCTCTCTTTTAACAAACTTTTCAGGGAGTTTAATTAAAACATTAAAATAAAAACTTATGTTATAAAAAATAATTATATTATACAATTTTATTATCATTTTTTTTTTATAATTATATAATTATTATTATTGTAAAATCAATCAATTTTTTTTATAATTCGTAATTTACTGTTAAGAAAACAAAAATCATATAAATATATATATTTATATATAATCGATAATCAATCAACTAACAACTATTGAAAATCTTTATTTAACAAAAATTAAAAATTATATAATTAAATGTGTAAAAAAAAACGAAGGAATGAATTTTATGTGAATTATACTTTTATAATATAATATATATTATATTAATCCAAAATAAAAGCAAACTTTTTTTATTTTAATAAAATATTATTATTATATAAACCACAAATTAAATTAAAAATGAAATTTTCTATTTATCATAACTGCAAAATTTATAAAATTTTTAAAAAAATATATATATAAATAATATTAAAAATATATTAATTATAAAATAAAAAAAAAATTTTGTAAATTTTGTACTTAATTTTCGATCCACCACTCTTTTTGATAGAGGTTATGATAAATATTAAATATTTACTAATTATACTAACCTAATTACTTTTAATATACATTAAATATTTTATTAAAAATTTCATATAAAAAAACATTAACAGATTAAAATATCCTCCTATAATATTGTCACCTACAATATATTATATATTTATATAACATGAACAAACAAAAGAAATAAAATAAGTTTTGTACTAATTAAAAAATTATGAAAACTAATTTAAAAAATTAACAAATATCTTTAAAAAATATATATATTTAATTATAAAAAAGAAAAATTTTAAAAACAACACGAATAAAAAACACTATAATTAAAAATATACAAATATATTAAAAAAAATTATTTAACAGAAAAAAAAATAATATGTATTAAACAAAAATCTATATATAAATATATATATAAACACTATAAATATATATTCTATATAAAGAATTTTGACTAACTTAACCTAATATAAACATCAATTATTAATAATTAAATAAAAACTAAAAAAAAAATTAATTAAGATAAAATATATTATAATTTTTATAAAGAAAACCGACTACAAATTAAAACACTTATATAAAAATTACATAAATCCATATTTTAGTAGTTTTTTAGATTTAAGAATTTAAAATGGAAAGCAACAATTTTTAAACAATTAAAACTTTAAATAACATTACATTATATTTATATATTTCCTTAACAATTTTAATTATATATATATATACATATTGAGAAAACATTTATATCAATAAAAAAAATAAATTGACGAATTAAATTTAAAAAAAAAAGTACTAAGACAAAACAAAAACATCATGCATTATATCATACGTACATTCAAAAACAAAAAAAAAATAAATATAATTATTAAACTAAATTTTAAAAATTTAAACATAAAATTTTATACTACCAACATAATATATATATGTGTTTCAAATTAATAAATGTATTAATAATAAAATAAAAATAAATTAAAATTAATATAATGGGAAATAAAAAAAATTAAATAAGAGTTTCTCAACCAAAAAAAAACTAAAATGTTTGTCTTAATTTAACTTCCCTGATTCCTTTTCTCAGTAAATAGGCGAATTTGTGATAATTCGGATATGCACTGAAAGTTCTAAATTAAATCTTAAGTTTTTTCATACATAATGTATGTACTTACAAATCTGCAGAAGCTAAATTTTACTTTTTCTAACTTGTAATATACTTGAGTTATTATTCATATCCAAATTCTTCAAACGTGCCTAAATTAGAACTAATACACTTATTGTGATTGGCGAACCGAATGGCTAAGGGAGTTGAATGACATTTTAAATTATGATCGGCGAATGCTTTCATTCGCCAGATCCAAAATGTTGCTACCGCAAGACATCAAAAAACCTACCGAAAATATTAAGATTAACACCACACATATGTTCATTGTTTTCGTTTTTTTGCAAAAACAATTGAATTTTCCTATCCCTTTAGCAATGTCGGGATTGTTCTCCATTAATTTAATTAAATGCTCGAATTGTTTTTGGTTCGTTTTTTTACGCTAAATTACTATTAAACAATCAATGTTTTTTGCAATAATTTGTAGAATTTTATGAACTTATTACTTTACAAATAGTTTAGATTTTTCCGTTATATCACTATAGAGTATAGATGCTATAATATCAAATAAAAAAACACATGTATTATTTTGATTTTTGTTTTCATTCGCCAAGCTTGTCACACAAAATTTTCATTTGCCAGATTTGAATTTGACGCATTCGCTTAAAATTTAAATTCGCTAATCATAATACAAAAATTTCATATTCGCCAAAAATTTAATAATGGCATAAAACTTTTGACTCTTTAAGATGTAAAGATAAAATTTATTTATTTTATAAATTTCCAAAAAAAATCAAATACGTATTTGCTGGAGGTTTTCAGTTAAAAGTCATTATTTCCAACTGTTTAGTATGTACATATGTACTTCTATACATAAATGTATTCAAAAGGAAATCAAAAGAAGCTGATTTTTTTACAATCTAGCCAGAATTTTCAAGCTGTCAACAATTTAATTTTCACAGTGAAATGTGTCAAAATAAGTAACTCAAGTTAAAGTAATTGCCGCTAAAACACCTTTAAAGCTCAATACACAACTTCAAAATGCTTTGTAAAATGAAACCAGCAAAAATTACTTAACGGCGGATTAAAAACTGTACAAATCGACACACGCTACATTGTAGAAAGTATCTTATATAATATACAATACTGAACTTGAATTTTGTGTGAAAACATTTTCTTTTAAAATGGAACTAAAAAATTTTCGACATTTATTTCATTCGTAGGGAATTTTTTTTTTGTTAAAGTTCGTTGGCTGATCTCATTTAACATGTAATTAAAATTGAAATAAGAGAATTGGGATAAGAGGTCAGCTAAGTAGTGACAAAAATTTTTAAGAATCACTGTAGTTTTCATGATTTTTTTTCACTGAATTTAGAAAATATTATAAACTTTGTTTGAAAATATTCGTTTCTATTAAGAGCGAGTAGAGTTAGCATAGGTAAAGCAACATATAGATTATCGCAAAAACAAAAAAATATGAGTTTTTTTCCGAAAAAACAATTTAAAAGAAATGTACATATATATTTTCAGATTCGTATCCTATTAGTTTATATTGAATTTTATTAATTTATAATTTTATTAAATCTTTAAAAAAAATAAAATTCTGAAAAAAATAAATTCAATTTAAGACTAAACCAAAAAAAACTGCCATTTTGCTATCCTGAAGAAAAGAAAGATTGAAATTAAACCTGGGAGTTTCGTGGCTTTACCTTTCTTCCTGAACTTAAGTAGCAGGAAGTAAGTTAAAGCCACCAAGCATTTTTTTATTTAAACAAATTTGACAACAAAATAAGATGAAAACTTTATTCTATGACGTCGGAAATTTGTATCAAATGTTTGATTTTTGTATTTTTTTGAAATTAAATGTTAACTATTAAATACATAAGCTTAGCTATCAATTAATTACACACCAGACTAAATCTTTGATTTAATCTAAGATATGAGCATTGCCGCATCAGATTCATTTTATTCCTTAATGTCAAACTTTTGACAACAAATATGTATTTACAATCTTTAAATTGAGGTTAAAAAAAGAAGAAATTGGTTTTAAAGAAATGACAGAAAATCTAACGATAATCCCATAGTTTTTGATTATACATTAGATTTTATTAGAACCAGACTCATATTTAATCCGGTGTTGAAGGTGCGCACTTTCATTTTCACAAGAAATTTTTAATTTTGCCTATTGCCTATATTATTATGAATACATACGACAGTTTCTTCACTACATATATATTCTAATAAAACGGTAGCACCCATGATGGTATGTATAGCAAAATATAAATTTGTATGCCGTTTTTATTTTCTGAACCATCCCTTAAAACATACCGAGTAACGGGATATTTCAAAATGTTATACACTTTTTGGTGGAAAAGTATAGCGTCTGACATTTTAAAATAAAGCTTTGGATGGAAGAACTTGATGTAGAGCAATGCGAAGTGTTGAGTAGATCTTTTATTTGAAATTTTAAAAAAATTAATTAAAAATTCGTTTTTGCCATTCGGTTTTCAAAGAAAATTTATTTTTTAAAATACTTTATTTAAAAGCAAGTGTTTACTTTCAAATAAAATTTAGCATCAAAACATTTTAAAATAATATATGTACATTTTGGAATATTGTCACTAGATTTAAAGGCAAAAAAGATAAATTGCAGATTTTTGGAACAAACCGAGGTAAGTGCAATTTTTATGTTTACTACGTTTTTATTGAGGAACTGAGAAATCTTCAACTATGAATCTTCATGCATTGAAGTATATGTGATAGTATCTTGAAGGAATAAGGTACAGTCAAATTATCCATACTCACACATACTCTTCTAATGTTCCAAATGTCCTTCAAAATTTATCAGAAATTTCAAAAACATAAAAGTGAACAGTAACCTCTAAAGATATTTGAATAGCTCTTTTCAGATAATATTTGGCTACAAAAGTGAAATTATAAAAGCAATCTACATATGTATTTAATATAATAGTATGTATTTAGTAGATTGTTAACTAATTTCCTCATATACACAATGGACGTTTTGGATCACGACCCAAGTGAATATATGTGTATGTACATACATATATGTATATTGTTTGCAAAGTAATATAGTATGTACATACAATAAGTGTATAGAATACGTACATTAATTCATTAATGTAGAATTTTCAATTTGAATACGTGAATATATTTAACTATGCATTTATATGTGTATATGCATGTGTAATTCTGTTTCCAAAAATCTAAGTTTTTTGACATCTGAAATACTTTTTGGATATCTTTTGATTATAGGACTATTGTAATTTTATAGAAATATAAATCTAGAATTCGATATTATGTCAAATATTTGTGAACACAAGCATTGCAAACTTACATAATTTCTATATATATATATGCATACATAAAAAATGTGTAATGATCAATTCCACTTTAAAATATTTAAGCAATGTTCCCCCAAAATAGAATATTTTGTGTAAACAGGTAATATAAGATATGTTTTTTTATTACAGCTTTGTTTTTCTTAATAAAATTTCATTTTTTGAAATAAAAAATTGGTTGGTACATTTTTAATAAAAATGATGATTCAAAGACCTTTTTCATCTGGGAGTCGCCAAGCTCCGGATCCGCATGATAATTTTTTAGAGCAAGCTGGATTTTATCGAAAGCACACAGCAAGAGATTCATCATGTCTGTTTCGTGTCATATCTGAACAGATGTATGATACACAAAATCATCACGCGGCAGTACGTGAAACTTGTGTTTCTTATATGAGAAACAATAAACTATATTTTCAGAAAGTAAGTAAATAGTCCATCAAGGTACCCACCAATATTTTGCAAATTTAGTATTTTGAAAACCTTTACGTCAATGTTTGTCTTGCATTATTAAATCGTAATATTTTCAAATCAATAACCTTTATACATATGTTTACAATTTGTAGTCGTTAAAACAATACGTTTTCGATGTCGATATAGATGAATATTTGGATGAACTATCTAAATCTAAAACATTTGGTACATTATTAGAACTTGAAGCAGTAGCACATATGTTTGCGTAAGTGTAGTAAAAAATTATGTTTATAATAATATCAGCTTTAATAAATTTATTGATATTTTAAGGAGGAATGTAGTATTGTTTCGACCTCTTGAACTTGGCCGCTGGTTTTTCTATAATCCCAATTTTGATAAAACTTTTCAAGTTTTTGTATCGCATGATCGTCATTTCGATACAGTTTATGCTTATAATTTTATAGAAGATGCTGCTTTTTGCCAATGTAAGTCAGAATGGAATTTTTTTAATTACGAACATACATATGTACATAAATACTATGTAAAAATAAAGAAGCTCAATAGTTTAATAAATATCATTAAATTTTTAGCTATTGTTTACGAACTCTTATATAAGCATGTTTTTAAATTGCCTGATATAACTTATGCTGTAGAACGTATGTTACATGCAACATCTTTCGAAGAAATTGATAGTACAAGTGAAGGGTTATATTGTCGTAAAATATTTCTTAAAGATGGGCGCACATTTGAATTAGATATGCCTGAAAATACTGATTGTATTTTAAATAATTACGAGTTATGTCATTTTCACAATCCAAACTTCCCCGGGCTAGCCCAAATGCTACAAAATGAAGTAAATAAATTTGATCCATCATATGCTAGTGAAACGAAAATAATATCACCTCCTGAGTATTGGAGTCCATATGAAACTCAGCCACCATGTTTTTATCCAAACAACCACGAAAATGTAATCAGTGATAACGACTTGTTTGATGGCAATTCGCATTTAAAGCAGTTAGATTCTCTTTTACCAGAAAAGTATGTTTCTTGCGTGCGTCAATTACTTTATGAAGGTAAGAATTTCTCAAACTTTTTGGAACAGTTTTTAATAATATAGTTTTTTTTTTTCAATTTAATTGAATGTTTATTTAGGTATTACACCTTTTCCATATAAAGTAGCAAAAGCATTAGATCCAGATATGTATCGCAATATTGAATTTGATTCTTGGTCTGAAATGCGAAAGGAGCAGCGATGGAAAAATTGGTACACTGGTGGTAATAGCTTACAGGTAAAGTGAATGTTTCGTAAAGTCGTTAGTAACATTTTCTTTTTAATGTCAGAGGAAATGGGTAATTTTGGAATTAAATACATAAATATGCATTTCAATTTAATTCAAACAAATTATTTTGTATAGTTTTATTGAAAATGTTAAAAAATAAAATATAAGCGAAACAAAATCGCAAATGATATTAATTATCAACGAGTCTTTCTTTAAGTTAATCCTTAAACCTTTCATAAGATAAAGAAGCAATCGAATTTTGAAACGTTTCCCGCCTAATATTCAAAAGCAGCATAAAGAATTGAGTAAAATAAAATTACATAAAATAAATATTTTCAATTTAGACAGCCTATAAATTTTAAATTTGCATGTACATATATGTTTTTTGTAATATGTTTTGTATTTTTTTCGGATTATATTCTGTTGTGTATATGTGGGTTTTTGTGTTGTTTTTTTATTTGTTTTTGTAGATGATGTCAGTATCCACAAAGAATTATTCGAAAACAAAAGTTATTATGATGGATAACATTAATTATTTGCTACAGGTTGGAGTTAAGTGTCAGGTATATTTGAGAAAACAAGATGAATTTTACACTGGTTACATACAAGAAATGCCTGAAACCAAAAATGAACCATGCATAGTTTTTATAGAAGATTTGGGGGAAAAAAGATCTGTAAGTAATTAAATTTTACGTAGTTTTAGTAAAATTGATTTTTATTAGGTTCCATATGATTGTTTGAAACCCTTGCCACCGGATCAAGTAAAACCATGGCCGTTACCATATCGATGGCAAAAACAATACGAAAAATTCCAGCAACAACAATCCCAAATGTATAGTCCAGCAAAATTTTTCAAACGCTTCACAAGTCATACATCAAAATGTAAGATCGCTGAATTCGATTACAATGTTATGAATTCATGTCAATTAGAAAATAGTATCTGCGAAAAAGAGAATGTGAACTTGAAGCTGAAGCAATATTGTAGTTTAGATAATTTTACTTCGACTATAATTTCTAAGCCGATAGAAATAATAGCAATGCCTTTAAATGTTGAGAGCGAACGCACACCTCTTAATAATAACGCACAACGAAACCAGAATAATAATTCTGAATTAAAATCTTTAGATTCAGCAATAAACAACAAAGTAGACGAAACTGCAAGCCGTTCTCCTTCAGCGCAACATACGTCACAACAAGATCGCGGAGAAGTAATAGAACCAACTTGTTTAGTTGAAAATAATATGATACTAGAATCAAATTCGGCAATGGCAACTGTTGTTGGGAATGACGCCTCATGTCCTTATCCTCTATACAACTACTATACTGAACCTTATTACGCCTATCATCCTTTTGATAATAGTATCATACATGCAACTAGTGGTGGGCACTCTTATTATTGCGTTGTCCCAAATCCGACATCTAATGTTATTCCGCATACTGCACCGCCAAATAATGTTTTTATGTCACCTGGTTCAGCGGTTTCATGCGGCTCGACTGGGGGTGTAAACAATCACATAACAAGTTTGGGATATTACTCGTCTTCAGGAGCATTCTTCCCTGCTTCTGCCATTCCACAACCAATCATAAATCCATCGGCTTCAAATGGCCGCCAAGTGTTGAATAATAATTCCAATAATGTAAATTTTGCGGTTCAGAAATCTGTGATGGAATGTGGGGCGGATTTACCGAAAGATGTTGCAACCCTAAGATTCTTCTTCAACTTAGGTTGGGATTACTACAATGAAATCAATGACGAAAAAAATAAAGGTGAAAATTGTTCTTTTTATTAAAGATGCTTTTTAATGATATTTATATTTAATTAGATTCAGGAAATCGAGCTTCCGATTTAGCAATAGATTTCCAAAAAATTAAAATTGAAAACGATAGTTCGAATCAGGTATGTACTTGTACAGGAATAACTTTTTTTTATAAACAGTACTTTACATTTAGGAAAAAGCTGATTCAAACAATAATATTGTAACTAGTAATAATTCTTTGAATGAAACAACTAGTAATGATCAATACTCTTCGTACCAAAATTCATCTCAAAATATTACCAATAACAAGAACAGCCATCCAAAGTATAATACCAATAATCGCGAAACTAAACACTTCACATCGCGCTGTTTTAATAATAGAAAACCGAATAGTTATAATAGAGGTAACGGAAATAGTAATGCCCATCGTTTTTCACAAACATCGCAAAGTTCTAGGAACATCAATAACAATAATACGCATAATTCTAAGAATGATAATCGTAACTTGAATGCAAACTGTGCTTCTAAAATGAATATTCAAAAAAATGATTGTTATCAGAAAGTGAACAATAATAGTTACAATTGTAATTATGAGTTGGAAAGCTCAAATGTAACGGAGATTCAATCCGGTAACAAAACTAAAGAAACTTTTGAGGTAGCTAGTCATCCTTCTCCGGTATCTATTTCTGAGAATATGGACACTGTTCAGGTATAGTAAATAATTTAATTAGTTCACGGTATAATTTTTTATATTAAATTTTGGTTCAGACGGTTACTCAACGAGGTTTTCTATCCGCATCTGCTCCAGCAACTCCCTATACTATGCCTTATAATCAAGATAATTCGACTTATGCAAATGAGCAAATTTCTACTATTCCAGTTAACGGTACCAGCCCAAATGGCAATATTTTCGTTCCACAGGTTATTGCGCCAGTTCCGTTCGGAATGTGTCAAACAGTACCACCGCCTTCTGCAGTAACGCAATCATATAATACGATGCCTCAAAATAGTAGTGTTTTACACAACCCGAGTTACTACCTTTCGCCAGGACAAAGCGGACCGATAAACACTTCGCATCCGCCACCTCCGCTGCCAACTACAACTGTTCCACCACCGCCGCCACCACCTCCACCAACTGGTGGTGTACCCTTATTGCAAGCAGCTGCTTATCCAATGCAAGCTTCACACTTACAACAAAGCTATTATTACCCTTTTCCAACACAAACAGCTGGTTCTGTCAATACTGCAGCAAGTGAAACATCAACTTCATCAATGGGAGGTGGCGGAGGCGATTTTAATTTAATGAATTACACCCCAGAGCCAAACGGGTCTTACCCGTTAATGAATTTTCCTGTTTATTACACTCCTACTAATAACAGTGCATTGACTCCTACTACAAATAATGGCAGTGGACATATGCAAAGTGGAGGACCAGTTAGTGGAAATGCGTATCAGGTATTACATTTGCGACACGTGCTATTTTGGCGTGACTTTATATAATTGTGTTTTCGTTTTGTACTAGGGATTAAAAAGAAAATTCCAAAAATGAATGTAGAAAGGAAGAATATAAATATGTATATATTTCCTTTCTCTTTTCTTGTTCTTGTGTTTTCTTTTGTGTTTCTAATTTTACGTTTCATGTTAATACAAAATTTAGCAACGTACGTGTGTAAGTATTAACAAAATTATTAAAAACCTAAAAATCAAATAAATTTAAAACTGCTTTTATATATTTGATTATATTGTGTCCTATTTTCGTTATTTTTAGGGATATTGGTTAACAACTGCTACTATTCCGCCACAAGTAACTGTAACAACACCTACATCTAACAAAATAAATTATAGTGCTAATTCGAATGTTTCACATTAAATTTTGATGAAGTATTTATTCAGCTTATTGTGATTTAAATATTGTTTAAAACACTAAGCTTCTTATTATTGTTGGAAATTTTTAAAAATAAAAATTTTACATATATATCTATTAAAAACCTTACAAATATTAAGAGACTATTTTTCAATAATTATAATAGTAACATAAAAAACATTATAGCAATTAAGTAATTTTAACTAAGTTATTCAAAATAGTTTAACAATTTTTTTTGGAGCAATTTGAGAAGTTATAGGAAATTAGTTTTTAAATAACAATATACACATAGCTTAATATATTTTACATTCCGTTGTTTAGATAAGCATATTAAATAAATTAAAAAAGCCTTAAAACACTAAGGGGCATACAAAAAAATGTATTGATACACATTTGGTGGACTATTCAGGTTCTAAGAATGATGTGATGAATAGTGCATGAGAAGCGCATCGATGCATTTTTGAATTTACGCAAAGAAAATAAGTCTATTATATGTATGAGTGGATCTTTGCAGCATATTTTTTAGTTTGGAATACTTTTTTAAGGGTAATTGAAAATACAAAATTTGTATAAAAATTTTTAACTATAAAAAGAAGAGTAATTATAAATTTGAAAATTTTCATAGCCCAATTCAAATTTGGAAGTTTTAATACATTTTTTTTTTTATGTAAGTTCGATATTAAGCAACAGTATTTACATTTAAATTATTCTGCATTTGCTATTTTCAATGTTATGTCGATGTTATTAAATTTATAAATTTTATTCTTCATCCAGTTTTTAAAATTTAGAAAATGAAAATATTGGAAAATAATAATTAAAATAGAATGTAGAATGTAATAATTTTGTAACTATAATGTAATTATTTTCATCTTTTGTTAAGTAAATGTAATAGTAGTTCCTTATAATATTCTGAAAGTTTAAAAATATTATTGCTTTTTTTATTTAAGCAAAGATCATATTGAGTTATTTAATAAAGTCAAGATAATATTTAGGAAGAATGTGCGAATTTCGGAAATATTTAAAAATAAAATAAGATTTTTTGTAGTAAGTAGTATTTACATTCTACCATAACAAGGTAGAATGTAATAATTTTTATATAATTTCTTATAACTTCTTGTTTAAAATAATCACTTTTTTTCATTGTTTTTTAAAACTAATATTAATAAAAATTGCAATATTGCGATATTTATAGTCACAAAACACACTATTTCTTAAGCTTAACCTTTTCTTTTATAACACATCGTCGTTGTAATAATTTTCTACCATACTATAAGAAAAACCAATTAAATATAATATCATATACATATAGCTCATAGGCAAAATAGTAAAATAATAAGATCGAAAGCTTATATGTATTTCATTAAAGTGCGATTATAGAGGAACCTACAATATTTTGTCTGTGAGATGTAATTTACATAAATGTTATGTATAAAATATTTTTTATAATAATTTTTATATTTAATCAAGTTAGATTTGTAATCTATTAGTGTAAAAATTTTCCTTTTTTTTTAATATTGTTCTTTTACTTAAAAATTTATTTTTAATTGCTTTTAGTATTTAAATTTTTTTATATTTTTTTACATAATTTTTGTAAAACTTAACTTAAAAAAAAAAAAAAAAAATTAAAATTTAAAAAAACAAATAAAAAAAATGTTAGTTTGTAAGTAAAAATTTGTTTTTTTTTAATAGAATTATTATTTTTTAAGCGAATCGATTCACAATTATCTTCAATATCAATTTAGAAATTTTTATATTTTAAAAGTATATAATTAAGTTCATATATGTATATATATTATTTTAAAAAATATTGGTATTAGAAAAGTAATAGTAAAGTATAAAATTATATAAGTCCAAAGGTACTGTAACATAAAAAATATTATGTTACAGTACTTTTGGACTTAAATAAGTATATTCTAAATTAAATATTAAACACTGTAGTATTACAGTGTATGTGTTATCTATATACTGCAGTGTAAGTAATCTATACGATCTAGACAATATACGGATTGCTAAAATCAGGTTTTAAATATTATTTACTCAGGGTGCGTAGTGAAACAATTGAAACAACTTATTAATTGTATTTCAAAACAATGTTCCTAACATGATATACATAACTAGAAAATTTGACCAGACTAAAAAAAAAATTGAAAACCATAATATGACTAACATTACAAATATGAATGGTGATCTAAAATGTTGAAGCAGCTTATTATACTGTAAGTTATATACTTACCTGATGAAAATATTTTAGTTATTCATGAAAATAAAACATGCTTTTTGAACAATTTTTTTTTGTTTGTTTAGGTTTTCTATACCGTATTATTTATTTACAATTTATTATTACGTAAATCACAAACAATTTACAATGATATACATACTTTGCTTTCTAATTTATAATAGGCACTTTAATGAGATAGGATTGTGAACATTTCTGTTTCGGTTTTTTTATTTGTAGGAATCATTCTACATTATACCTATACATATTTATTCACTCAGACTTTTACTTTATAAGTAGGTACACCTTGTACTCCTAAACCACTAACTTTGAAGGTTTGGCCAGCTGGTTCTGGTTTTCCACCTTTACCAGCCGTTGTAACGAAAAGTATATCCATACTTGGACCACCAAATGTACATGATGTTACTAGTTCAGCTGGTACTTTAATACTTAATTCAACTTTTCCAGTTCTAAAAATGAAATGTTTGTTAAACTTGTTATTTTTGAAAAAAATAAGCAAAAATTTTTTTTTACGTTGGGTTGACTTTAACAACTTTATTATCTCCAAATAGAGCAACATATAAGTTTCCGTTTGTGTCGATAGCTACACTATCAGGTACAAAACTTGGTCGTTTTCCTTCAATACGAAAATCATGAATAACTTTTGGATTTGCTATAAAATAAAAATAAAGATTTCTAAAACATATTTTTTTATATAATGATTTACGAAATTAATTTGCAATTGGTAGATTGCTAAGATCAACCAGGTAGAACCAAATAGTGCACTTACAAATATTTCCAGTATCTGGATCGTAATCAAATTGTTTAATTTCGAAATCGACTGAATCTATGTAGTAGAATTTCTTTATTGTCATATTCCATGTTAAACCATTTGATACTCCGACATCGCCTTTAATTACTGTTGGTTCTTTACCTGATTCCCATTTCCATAAGTTACTTTCACGTTTTGCAAAAATATCGTCTTCTTGGTGTGTTGTTCCGCCTACAAAACGACCTTTGGGATCAGCTTTTGCATCATTAAAGCGATTATTTGGATGATCTTTTTCAACTTCAAAAAGAGTGCGATTTACTTTGCATTCAGTCGCTTTTCCGTCCCAATCAACAATTTTTAAGAATCGTCCCATAGTTACGGTATACTGATTAGGATGTCCATCTATTGGGATTATAGTTGTTGATATTTTTTCACCAGCTATTAAAATAAAAAAAAATTTAAATTGTAATTTTTAGTTGTGGTCTTTGAAAAGCAATAAAGATTTTTAAAATAGGGAAGGCTATTCAAAGATTCAGTATAATAATGTGTTATCAGTAACTATGAACGTATTCGAGAAAATTTTATCTAAATATCTATGATCACTGTGTAAATATTTGAGATATATGTAATTGTTAAAATAATTGTTTACTTAATAATTGTCATTATATTAAAAAAGTTAAATTTCTTTATTTTATAATGTAATTTTATTGAAATATTTTAAACAAGTGTTAAGTTTTCTAAATTTCAAGGCTTATTTTGTATTTAAATTATTACATGAACCTTATTTTGCGTCAGTGTCTTTACTAGTGTTACAAAATTCACTTGATAATTATATAATTAATTTTACTTACGGATTGAGCACTTATATATTTTGCTTTCATTAAAATCATAACGATAAAGAGCAGGTCCATAAATATCTGTATAGTACAAGCTCTGAGTATCTGCATCCCAATGAGGTCCTTTTGCAATGTCTGCATAAGATTCTTTACCTATAGATTCTACGCTTAAATCCATTTCTTTCTATTGTAACGAGTTATAAAAAAATATAAAATTTTTCTTTAGAATATTTTTTTTAAGTTTAATTTATTTTTACAAAGAATGTAGTGACCGTATCACTTTATAAAGTAAACTAAAATATTTATGATAAAGAGAGATATTCATGCAATTTTCTTAAAAGCTTTTTTTTTTTTTAATAAAAACAACTCTATAATATTCATGCAATTAGTATACATAAATAACAAAAAACAAAGAAAAAAAGAGAAAAAAATTTCTTAGTTGCATTTCAAACAGCAAATAAAGGAGCGTACAACTAAAACATAACTGATACCAACTTAATTTACAATGATATTTGTGTACAAGTATTACAAATACGGACAATAGTTTTACTAGAAAATGTGTTGTAATAGTGTTATGAAAGTATAGCTACAATTTCATTATAATACATACGCTTTCTTCTGATGACGAGGAACTATCTTCTTTACTATTACTGTTTGATGCACTGTTACTACCCTTTCCAATTATTAAGAGTATAACAAGTACGAAAACATATTTTATAAATTTATTCATTTTTATTCTTTGTATTCTTATGTCGGATGTATTATTTCTTTTGCTAATTCAGTAGTACTGTCAAAAATAAATACTTTTATATAAATTAAAGCTATGCTGGTAGAACTATAGATATAATAATAAGTTTTCATATTCTTTTATTTTAGTTCCTCATAATGTATAGAAGTTTAAATAACAGATTTAAAGAAATTAATTGAATTTAGCTACTGCAAGCAAATGGAATACTAAAAAGTGTGAGGGTAAAGGTATTATGTAAGTAAAATATATTATAGTATTATTATATGGTATAAGAATAGAATAGAATTTTTATGAGAATAGAATTAGTATAGTTTAAGAAAAGAAAATTATGAGTATCTAACAACAAATATGCTTCTTCATTGTACTATTTTAGTTCATATACTATTATAGGTTTTATCAACCACCATCGAAATGAGATTCAGTTCTAATTAAAATCAAATTTCAGTTCTAAACCTTTAAAATCCTATACATTTTTATTTTTCTTATAGCGACTGGATTTCAAAATCTTTCAAGAAATTAATTTAATTATGTATTTAATTAAATTTAAATTGAGATTTGATATTTTAACAATAATATGAACTTGACTTTTGTTTGCATAAAAAGTAATTCTTCAAATCTACTTTGTTTCAATTTAATTCTTATTCTTTAATTATTTTTTGCCAAGAATTTTATATATATACATACATATATGTATATAAAGATACGTTCATGTCTAATATGTGACTTTCTAAATATGTACTATGTACGTATAATGTATGTATAATATATTTTGTGTATACTATGTATAATAGTATACACAAAAATATTGTATATTTTGCGATAAGAGAAACTTTATCAAATCATTGCGATTGCATGTTATTATTTTGTAAAAAACTTGCATGTATTTTAAAATTTTGTCTCAAATTTTTTTAATGTTAATTAAAGGACGTGCATTTAATTATTTAGAAAAAGCTTTTTTCTTATATTGTCATTCCAGATTTTTATCATCCATATTAAGGTGATGGGGTATTATTGTACTTATGGGGTACTTTCAAGTGTAAAATTTCAAGTTTCGAAATTAATTTTACTCTGAAAATCTCAAAATTTTTGAATAACCTATCACGTTAATTAATGTGACTAACAGAATATGGGTGTGTAAGAGAAAAATTTATATGAACTTTTTCTTCTTTGGTTAACGAAGTGAATAGATGGCAACCCGTTGAAAAGTATAAAACTGGATTAGTTAAAATTTTTATAAAAAAATCTAAAGCAAAAAATATTTTAATGTTTAATTTTATGTAGATAAAAATTCAAATAAAAATTATTTTCGATTCGTCTTTCATTTTAATTAAAAGTGCCTTGAAAGTAGTATTATAAAAAAATACAATTAATTAAAAATATAAAAATATTTTTTTCTTGTAAACATTTTTTTTGTTTTCGAATTAAAATTTTCCAATACAATATGTTCGATTCAATAATTGGCTATTGGTTATGATCAAAATATTTTTATTGTAAAATTAAATTGAAAATTTTTATAATATTAAAAAATTATCCAATTAAAATGTCAAATATATCACTTTTTTTTATAAACAATAATTTGTTTTTTTTGTTATTCTTTTGTGTTTTTCACTTTTTGTTATAAAGTAATCAATTATTATTTTTTTTATTTCTATACATCATAAGTAAAGTATTTTATTTTTTAATTATGGAAAAAATTATTTGAATAATATGAAAAATTCTTGAAAACAATTTTGTATACCAAATTAATTTCTATTTAAATAAGTAAATTTTGTTTTTTTATTTTTCAAACTTTTTGTACTTTATCGTTTTAGTTAGTATTATAATTTTAGCCGGTTATAATAAAATTAAATATTCAATCTATGTAGTGCCGGCTTTTATAGAATTTTTGCTTTAAAAATAAAAAAGAATAACAATAAAAATTCCTTTTATTAGATTAAAATCTTAAGATTTTTGATAATTCACTTAAATAGAATGGATCTTTCTAAATGCTGAATATCAAAATAAATTTTTATTGAAATAAATCTGTTATCATGTTAGTTCAATATAGTTTGCTTTCTATATTATCATTTAAAGTTGAAATGGGGGTCGAAAATGTTATAGTAATAAAAATTAATTTGCTTTAATATACTCATATAATTCTATACTGTATATATTTAACTTATAAATACATAATACATATTGTTATTTTGATTAAGTTTATTCGTCAGATTTGTCAATATTAATACGAATATGATTTTAAAGAATAAAAGGTGTTTATGCAAAAGTAATATTTTTTTTATATTTTTGTATTATCCTATTATTTAAAGTTTATATTGTAATGTTAAAATTAATTTCAAATATTTGAGAATCAATTTTTATTTTAAATTAGTTAATTCGTTTTTATAACAAATAAGTATATATATTCTTGTATTGGCGTATTATTGTTAATAGTTTTTACTTTAGATAAATTTTATTTTAAATTCAAGTGCAAATATGTAAGTCTGTCATGCACAATTTAAGCTTAATTAATTAGTTTTAATTTTGGCTTGATTTTTTTCGATGATTTTCGAACACTAATAAAAATTTGATAAAAATTATATTCTATTTGCACATACTTTGTACAATTTTGTTTAATTAAATAAGTTCATTAAAAACAAAGCTCTTATTTAAATTCAATATATGTATGAATTTTATTCACATTTTTATTTTGTCACCTAATTGTTATTTAGGATCTTTATAATATTATAATTAGATGGGTATGGAAATATTGGGTCGTTATATCAAAATTTTATATAATCATAGAGTTATAATTTTATTCATATTTATAGCTGTAAATATTATCAAGTTTATTGTATCAAAAAAGGTATTCGTTTCAATTATTTTAATAAATTAATTTTTATAGTTCTAAAAAAATAATTATAAATATTTGTACGTGTACGTACATTAAAAGAAATTAAATTGATTTTTGGATTAAAAAGTTGATTACATTTTCAAAATCTAAAATTATTTTATTATTTACCATAATATTTTTAATTTTTTTTATATTAACCGCAAAAAAAAAATATTTGCTATTTTAATTTTAAAATAAATAAAAATGATGATGTAAATTATGGCTTACAAGATAAGATAATTTTTTATGTTTTATATTAAAACTACTTTAGGAGAACAATATATTAATTATATTATTTATTTTATACTTATCATAAGTACATACGAGTATATAAACCATTTACAAAAGTTTATTAGAATATTTCTTTATATATAGATAGTTAGAATTTTATTATTTTTGAAAAACAAAAAACGAATATATGGCTCAAAAAACATTTAATAATTGAATTTAATAATCAATTTTCAAATTCTAATTTAAAACTTCCTTAAATTCTTAGCACATTCTTTAAAATTTTTACATTTTCACAATATATACACAATTCTAAATTAAATTTTCTTATATCTTTAACACGGGTGAAGATTTTAAATAAAGCGATAGTTCTTTGCAAATTTGAGTTAAAAAAATTATTAGATTTTGAACAAAGAAAAAAAATAAATTAAACTTGAAATTTACTTGATAAAATCACCAATTTTTATTCAAAATACTATCGCTGAATTGTAAAGCAAGCGAAGACAACCTTTTACGTTTAAAATATAATTTATTCTGAATAAAAGTAAAATTTGGCTTCTTATGTAATTTAAATCAATTTCAAGAGAATTTAAATGAATAAAACATATATAATATATTATTATAACACATTATATAATTATTATGTACCCATATAGAACGCAATTGAATATAAGAATTCTACACAATTTAGTAAATTGCTTGATGAAATCAATTATTAAATTGGCAAACCTAACAAAATAAATTTAGACTAAGAGATAGACTAGAAATTTTCTTGGTATATATATTTTATGGAAGACTTGTGTATATAGCCAATAATGTAATAATTGCGGAACAAAAAACATTTTGGTAGAGATAAAGGCGCTTTTTGCTAAATATTTACATTAAAAAATATTCATTCAGAAAAGATAATTAATGTTAGTGAATTCTTACGAGTATGTTACAAATTCATCGAAAATTAAACCATATTGTAAGAATATAAACCATGTCTAACAAAGCTAGGGTAAAATAAATTAATAAATCGAAAATTTTTGAATTTCCAAGTATTCTACTCCAAGCAATGTTGTGTGTTCATATTTTTCTGTGGAATATTTCTTTCATGTGCATTTTATACATAGAACATAATAATGTAGAAAAGATAATTGGAACTTTTTTTTTTATCTCCAATTGAATAAATAAATTTCGAGTTTTAAATATTCATTTTTTTAATTATTTTATTAATTTAATAGAATATAACGTTACAAATTTTTAAAATATTATTAAAACATCTATTACTAATGTTATATATGATATTTTACTGACTATTTATAATAATTTACTGATTATTTAACGTGAATAGTTTTAGATAGGTTAGTTACATTTTATATTTTTTATCAATCTATATGATGCATGGATCGTATTAATGTCCGTGTAATATAGTGAACATTATCAAATAATGCAATATATGGAATATATATAGAGTCACATGGAAATTGGAAATGATAGAAACATTTTATTGTTACAATTACACTTAATTGTAATATGAAATTTTAATATTTTTGAATTATGTTTATAATTTTATTAATATAAGAGTTGTTGTTTACATTTTAATAAATAAAAGTGGATGCTTTAATGGAAAGCAATAAATTTAATATTTTTGTTGATAGGAAAATGGAAAATTACCATTATATTTAATTTTATTATAGAAAAATTTAACAATTAGCAAAATTATAAGGTAAAAAATATTATAAATTATAAGATATTACATAAAATTTAAATACAGAAACAGGAAAACTTTGCTACTAAGTAGTTTTTTTTTAAATTTTGTCTGTTTTTTTAATTTCTTGTTTATTTTAGAATAAAAATGAACAGAGACAGGAAGGAATGTGAAAGGATGGAAAGAAAGTTCAAAAATTGAAAATTTTAAATTAAAACTGGATGGATGATGAATA